TACACGTCAGAGTCACATCTTCTCCAAGATGAACATTTTTTGTTACAAAGCTTTGGTCATCCATGCATCCTGAAAAATAAAGACAATCCTTTAGAGATTTATCCAAGTGTAAAAGGTAACAATTACTGAAACACAGAGAAAACTGAACACAGATGCACACTTACGCCCAGCTGTGAGTAAAAGAGCTACGCACAATATGATCAACATTGTCTGGTTCAGACCTCAGTTAAAATTAGATTTCACTGCAAGATGATTAATCTTAATGTGGTTTTATCAAATGGGAGGGGACAATGAGATGGGAGGGGACAATGCAATGGGAGGTAACCATTTTAAAACAATCTGATTGGTCTGTAATAATGTTAGCTTTTAAATGTCTTTCCAAAGTTAAAACTATCTCATTGTCTCCAATGAACATACACGACACGAGCAGACATCACAACACTCATAAGTAACACTCTAGAATAGATTTCCTGTCCAAAATTTCCAGCCATGTTACAAAGAGAAAAGTTCCAAGACATCACTTTTTGCTTAGTTGCTCTATTGGGCCAAAAAAGTGGCTAAATATTACCAGAAAAAGTCAATTATGGAAAATTGTATCCAAGATTATACATTATAATTCATGATATAATTTTTATTATTGATAAACACAACATCATCAATACAAGAAGACGAAAAATCTTCACCAAAACACAAAATATGGCTGACAATACAGGTTCCGTGTCAATCGTATGTCAAGAGAAAAACTACTATTTTGTGATTTTGCAGCAATGTTAAGGTCAAAATGTCCAAACTGTAAAGAGGCTATATTAAAAGAAAATGTTGCTTCGTTTATTTTGGGCTAAACTAAAACCATGAGAATTTATATGATGTCAGAGCTTTCTTTTGGTAACATCTTACAAACGAGTCTTTTATTCTCTTTGCACTGCTGCCACCATTTGGTGGAAGCTGGTTTATTAATTCACTAAGAAAATTTAATTCAGGTAGCAGTTTTTTTCTTACTGAGATGCTTTTCTGACTGATGTTAGCTGATATTAGTAGATTTAGATTTTATATCTACATTATTTTGGATAATCTTTGAACCCACCGGACCAAAAGTAATCTGTCTTTAATATCCCTACAGATTACTTTTAATTTTTTGCTTGTTTAGATGCGTTTTCCTGGTCTCTCGCTGCATCTATACTAGACAATTCATAAAAAGTGACCCTTGATTACTTTAAAAGTTAAAAAAAAAACAACTACTATTACTCCAAAAAGTTGATTCTGTTCATCTGGACGTAGCGTTTTGTGGGAGAAACGTTTCGTCACTCATCCAAGTGACTTCTTCAGTCTCAGCTGACTGCAGGTTTCCCCAAATCGTATAAACA